TCGGAAACGTAAAATGATTGGCTAGAATCTAAAGTGTATCACAGCTCAGGAAAAAAAAGCACCGAAATAAAGCACCGAAATGTGCGCTGCTTTTCGGTCTGGTTACTACCGTTTATGTCGGTACCCATCCCTAACCAGGAGTACTTCACAAAAGCTGAGTTCAGTTTCACTAGTTGCACCCAGGCTGATAACAACAGACCTGCTGAATTAAGAAACCATCTGTCTAACAGAGTGAAACAGGCCTTAAAAAGCAAGTCTTCGTGCCACAATCTTTACACACTGCTACTGCAGCTGCATTTATTTCAATGGCCAAGTTGTTGTGTCCTAAATGTTTTGCAGCCATCTGCCACCAGACTGAGCATCGTTGTTGAACAATACCATAAATAGGTTAATCTATTTTTGTTAACACTGTTTATTTTACTTCTTTTAAAGGTGAAACAATGAGATCACAGATGCAAACAGCTGGATTTAGCTTCCTCCGGGCCTCTCTGTTACCACAGGGCAAAGAAAGCAGTCATTAGAGAGAAGCTCAGAGTAGAGCTGCTGAATAGGTTTTTAATTAGTTAAATACTCATTTAAAAACTACATTTTGGACTTACTTTGACTAATAGTAAAATTTCTTTCACATTTTAAGATATTTAAGTGTGACAAATATACAAAACACAGAAATCAGGAAGGGGGCAAATACTTTATGTAGCTAATCAGTCAGCTGAACTGCCAAGTTCGATTTCAACATGTGGATGATTTATTCATTAGCTCCATTCCACTAACCAGCGGACGCAGTCTGTGTGTTTACGATAGTGCCGTTGTGTGCGGTTGTTGATGTGATAAAGCACAATCACACAGGCAATGAAGTACACTGCCTCGCCCGTCGGGAGGAAATACAGATTAGCTCGACCGTCCCGTCCACGGTAACCATAGCTAGCAGAACAGCGTTAAGGTAACAACAAGATACAAGAAAGAAACAAATCACACACAAAACTGTGTTGCTGAACTTTGCTTTAGTTCGAGCAGGCCAGCTATAACCATTGCACCCACACCTTCACAGCTACAAACTGCTCATTCTTCTTTTAGAAATACTAGACCAGTATAGACCATACGAGGCATTAGTCCTGGTAAAACCAGCAGCGTCTGAATGTAACAACCCTCGCAAATACGTGGCATTGTGGAAGGATACACCCAGTCCAGCTCCAGTCTCTCAGAGGGAGGTTCCATCTTCAGCTCGTCGTAGTTCTGGATGTTGGAGGGGATGTACATGGTAATGGGTCGGCCTCGGATAAACATTTTGATTGACTGTCCTGAAAAACAAACAATGGGTTTGTGTCACAGATTCATCACCAAACTGTTCTTAATCACGGAAAACTCACGTGGGACCCGTAGTGGGCTCGCCCATAAAGAAATGTGATGTTTGCACAACCAAGTGGGGCCTGTGTGAGATATCTGTGGGCTTCCTCTGTCTACACAGCCCTGCAGAGAAAATTCACCCAAAAGTCGTCAACGGTCTGCTTCCTCAAGTGAGCGAGAGTGAGTCACAGTTCCAAACTTCTTGGGTTACTTTTCTAGAATAATTTGTTTTTTAAAAATCTAGCTCTCAGTTGCCAACTGGCAGCAGCAGCAAGAATGGGAGTGAGACACTCCTGGAAAAGCAGCCTGTCCACCTCCCCATGAAAGACGATGAAGACATAAAGCTGCATAAGAGCAGGTTTACCTTGGCTGTAGGTTCCTCTTCTGGAGCCAGGGGATCCTGTGTGTAAATGAGAAAAAATAAAGGTTAGCCAGACGAACAAATGGATCCCCTGTGCATTAAATCACAGCCGACCTACAGCTTTATAGCCTACTATAGCTTTAGACATTTCAGAGGGTTAAATCTTCCGTTAACATCAGTTACACCCACAAACTTTAGAATCCATGCCGAATCATGTTTTCTTGGCCGGGACTCAAAGTAAAGTAAAACATTAAGGATGAGCTTAACGACATGTGAATGTTGAGACCGACTAACTTTCTGTCTGACTGACCAGAAAACGCTAGAACAGTTTGGAGTGCCGGCAGCTATACAACAGTTCCTGTGTAAGTGCATGACGGTGGAGCCACAGTTTTGTTTGGTAACATCACACTGTAGCAAGGTTTTTATTGAAAATATCTACAGCTTTCATCTTCTCTAAAATAAATCCAGTTTCCTTGGCTGTGTGGGGCTTGGTTGCGGTCATTGTCTTGCTGAAATGACCACCCTTGTCTCATCTTCATCATCCTGGTAGCTGGCAGCAGCTTGGTTTTCTTTTTAAACCAAGAATGTCTCTGTACATTTTTCCATTGATCCTTCCTTCAATGAAGCGTGCCAGTGTTGTATGCTGAAAAACAGACCCACACCATGATGTTCCCACCTCCAAACTTTACTGTTGGTATGGTGATTCTGGAGTCATCTCACTGCAGTAGTCTTCCTCTGCTTGCCCAAAACTACTATGTCCAGTTCCACATAATCTTAGCTCAGTCATCCTCAAACACCCCAGGGGCCGGATCCCATTTTGACCTCGGGAATTCCAGGCCATACTCGGCATGAAATACATTCCCGTATTCTTGTATAATACTATGGCGTTCCAGTATGCGCTGCCTGCTAGCATCTTGCACCCTGCTGTTAGGTGCTGGATTGTCTCATCTTTGCACAGCCTGCACCTGGGGTTTTACCTGCTGTGATAGACCGCAGCCTCTATGGATCCTGTGCTCGGAGCTTGTTCCTGCGCTGCCATGATTAGTGCCTCTGTGCCGTCTTTCAGTCCAGCCACTGGCAGGTTTCTCAGTAACAGACACTTTTTCTGTCTGCAATGTAATTTCTGATTTTCTTTCTCAGATTTCTGCTGCCAGTTGTATTCACCAAACACACCATCCGTTGTGTTCCCGATGTGCGGATCTTTCCATCAGTTTCATCCTGGATAATGGTTTTCACATTCAGTAGTCCTCGACCTCCAACCTTGTGCTTAGTGTACAGTCTCATGATGCTGGACTGAAACTCTACATGCACGGTAAGGAATTTCCTCATCTTTATTATCCAATCAGAGTATCCGATGACAGGCAGGGCGTAGGCATTTATTGCCTAAATCTTGTTCTTTCAATTCAGTTGAGGACTTGGGTTACTCTGTATGTATTTGGTGGATGCGGCTTTCCTAGCAGCCTCTTCATGGTTCCCACTTGCCCGTGGGATTCACAGGTACTTGAGGCTGTCCTTGATGTTTACACCGTTTCCTTCTGGTAGTGTAATCGCCTCAGTTCTGACTACCTTCCCTCGCTTTCTTACCATCCAGCTACACTTCTCTAGTTTGCATGAGATTCCACTGCTGTAGAATAAAGTGGTGTGGATCAGTGAGCTGATGTCTTGCTCACTCATGGCATTCATGTAGAGGAAGTGGATAATGTCATAGTCGGTATCTGAAACCAGTCTTGTTAATGACCTCACTGAGGCGGTTCAGACCTGTGCAGGTCTCCTTGACGATTCCTTCCCTTGATGGGGACTCAGGCTTAAAGTTGGCCTCTAGTATTTTTTGCCATATTCCCATCAAATTTCAGATGAAAGCACGTGTTGATCTTGTGGAGTTGTAGTTATTCCAGGATCCATGTGTAAGGTATAGTATGCACAACTAGCCGACTAGCCGTCGCTGTTGTCAGTAGTGAGTAACATAAGTTCTACTCGTTTAACCTAATTGTTAAAATTTTAATTGTTGCCCAATGCTGGTAAATTATCGTGCCATAGATGTTATGCACCCATCTGCCACCAGATGGAGCATTGTTGGTGAGAAATGGCATGAATTTGTTAATGTTAACCTTTTCGTTAAAAAAGGGTCGATGTGCGCGATAGAAAAAACAAAAATAAAAAACAGCAATGAGGCAGAGGCTCCGAGGAAGCGATGCCACACTATTTGGAGACAGTTTTTTATGTCATCTCACTGATTGGGTTACTTTATCTTGATTTCTTAACATAAAACTCATTGTTTTATGTTTTATGTTGGACGGCACAAAAGTGACCCGCTTTGAATTTTAGTTTAGGTCCCCTTGTTTACTGCTGAGTTATTGGTTCTAGTTAGCTAACGTAACCTTGACTGCAACCAACCAACCAACCAAACAAGCCGATGACATCATATCCTGTACTGGCACAAGAAGACACCTGGCATGTATTGAAAAAACTTGAAATTGTAATATAAAAGCCATAAAGGGTAATAGAACTATAAAATGATAAACCCAAAAACAAACAAACTCTGACGGTTATAGTGCTGTGGAAACGATCCTGAGAGTTTGAGAAAGCCCTACTCGAGACAGAACAAAGCTCAACGTTTTTCATATCATCTAAAGCAGGAGTGTCCAACTCCAGGCCTGGAGGGCCGGTGTCCTGCAGGTTTTAGATGTGTCCTTGATCCAGCACAGCTGATTTAAACGGTAAATGACCTCCTCAACATGTCTTGCAGTTCTCCAGAGGCCTGGTAATGAACTAATCATGTGATTCAGATGTGTTGACTCAGGGTGAGGTCTAAAAGCTGCAGGACAGCGGCCCTCGAGGCCTGGAGTTGGACGCCCTGATCTAAAGTCTCAAATTTATGAAATGCATTCTTGCATTTGACTACGTCAAGAACTGTCAGAGTTTTATATTAACAAGTATGTGATGTGGTCCAAGTAAATTACACAGGTTTAAAAGTGGTCCATCCTTCAAAAGCCCCCCCCTCCCCCAACGCAGCTATTCATGTAAGGGGCTATAATAGATATAAACTAGTGGCTGAGCCTGATTGGTGAAGGGAATGAAGCCTAAACCACCAGAACCAGACTGAAGGCCAATGCTCATAAAAGCTATGCAAACCACAAGTGTGGTTGGTTGGGAAATCCACTCATTTTTACACAAATGACTACATGTGTGAACCAACGGGGTTTCTGTGTCACAAGTACAGAAGCACAGCACAGGCCTGCCAACACTGGAGCCAGGCCAGACCATCATGTTGGAAAAGTACCTAAATGAAACACAACAACATGCAACGATGATCGTAGAAGCTGTTTTTGAATTCAGCAAAGTGCGTTTCAGTGAAACGGTGGTGGGCTGACTCCTGATTGAACCCTGGGGCCTGTATGGAGTTTGCCTCAGAGGCCTCTGTTGATGAAGATGCTGTCAATGACCTCACCTGCACTGGCGATAAGCTCTTTAGCTCGGCTGCGGAGAGAAAAATCAAGACATTAGAAGCCATTCCACAGACTGTTGCTTCACAATCGCATTATGTGTATTTATGAGTGTTTCACAGGGCGACTTCCAACAAGTGTCCCTTTAATGCGAGGCTGCTGCAGCCGTGGGACAAAGCGAGCGGTGTGGTGACATCTGTGAGTGATGGCAGGATGGCTCACTTCTCCAGGCTTGGGGAGCGGGCGAGGAGGTTTGCTGAAGATGCTGCCTTCTTGTCTAGACGTTTCCTCTGCCTTTCAGGGTTCCCTAGTTTCTCGCTGTTTCTACGAACCCTAAAGCGTCACAGAAACACCGAGTCAGCTTTAACAGACTCAAGACAGTTTAATGCACCTATCCCTCTGCATGCGAAGCACCCACAAATCCCCGCTGCACCTACATTCTCCATCAAAGGATAAATAACTTTTGCCAAGCCCCGCCTACTACACCTGTCACTGTGCCAATTGTGTGAAAGACCTTTTTATAGGTGTAAAAACAGTGCTACTGAAAATTTATGCTAACTTCAGAGACAAACGTGCTTTTTGCCATTGATCTGCAAATTATTTGAACTCTGATTCTGGAAACAATCAGTCAGAACTAGTAGAAGCTCTGTAGCTTCACAAAAACAATATTTGTGTGTGGATTTTAAATTTTTTAAACCTACAAGGAACAATTTGTTGCCTAAACAGACACTTTGATAACAGGTCGGCTTGTGTTTGCTTTGAGCTCTACAACACAAACACATCATAAAATACAAACTGAAAGTATCCAGTGTTACCTTTAAATAGTTTTGCAAGCACAATAGTAACATTTAATATTGAGATTAAAACACACACACACTGTTAAGGCCATGCAAACAATCACACAAGAGGAAGAAGCTGACCTGATGAAACAGTTTGACTAATTTATTCGATTAGATGAAATTTATGTGTAGTAATGTCATCTGAGTTTGAAATCTCAGCAACATACCAAATTCCTCAAAATGTAACCAGAAACAAAATCATTTGAAATTTGAAAATATAATTACTCTTTATTCTGTATTCTAAAGGTTTAATGCTGTTTGGACAGCTTGCAGGGGATTGCAATGGTGAAAATAGCTTCTGAGTTCATATTGAAAGTCTTAATGTGTCTAAAGCAGTGAATACTCATTTGTGCTAGTTTGATCCTGGAGGCCCACATGAGCTTTTGTCAGAGGCAGATGGCAAAAGTCAAACTGATGTTCTGGGAAACCCTTTCAAAGGAATAACAAGGAGGGAGGGCAAAACACAGAGCACATGCACAAGTAAACAAAGTAAACCAAAGCAGTAAACAAAAGCAGAGCCCTGCCCTGTGGTCCCCACCTATTAGTAAGGTAGTCCTTTATGGAAGACATGCTTTGCTGTAAGAGAATATGTTTTAATCACAAAGATATTAGGAGCGATTACAAGCTTAGAGTAGAATTGTAGTGAAACATTGTTGAAACAGTTTGTGCAAATCTGCAAAACCCAGTTGAAAAAAAAACAGATCCTTACTGGCGCCGTGTCACATACACGAGGCGCTCTGCAGCTACGCAGCAGGAGTATACACCGTGCAGCTTGCAGACATGCCTTTTGTTTACTTCTCATTCTATTTTCCAGTGGATTCAAATCTCTGGGTGCTTTGAAGCTTAATATGGATATATGAGTTAGACTTTAGCTTTGTGTTTCTCCAGTTCAAACACACTGAAAAGAAAGCACGTGCGGACTTTAGTGACCGAGACAGCAGAACAGGACACCCGGGTGGTGACATATTCTAACGCAGCATGACACACCCTGCAAACCTGAGGATGTCTGGTTCATAAAGCGGGCTGCAGCACAACTGGGGTTTGCAGAGCCAGAATCTGGAAAATCAGTGTTAGTGTTGATTCGTTCTTAAAAGTCATGCAATCAATCAACGATTAAGGAAAGATGATTGAGGTTGTAAAGGACGCGGCAATGAGGCAGGATCACGCACAGAGCCTTCTCTCTTTCGTGGATGGGAGACAGCGGTCCAGAGCGGCAGCTGAGGTTCTGGTCTGAAGATTTGAATGAGGCCGAGGCTGAGCCTGGATCCTCCGGAGAGCAGCTGCCATCCAGGAGGTCCTCCCTCTGGAGGCCTCTGATGGTGGTGGGCTGAATGGGCTCTTCAACTGACGATGCCCATGTTAGGTCCTTTTCCTGCTCCCCTCTTCCTCCTCCTTCATCTTCTGGCTCCTCATCCTCCTCTTCCATACCAGGGACACGGTGGAGTTTGGCCCGGTTTCCCTCAGATACAGAAGGACCTTCCACGAGTGCATCTTCCAATTGCAGGCTCTGGACTCGTCCGTGGAGAGGGACCCTGTCCTGGCCCGAGTCCTGGCCTGACGGGGTCGACTCTGTCTGGGTCGACTGGTCCACTGTTGCTGGAACGGTTTGGATGTCCGTGGATGCCGAGCTGTTTGCATTGGTCACAGTGGTGTCTGACAGTTGGCTGGAGAGTTCAAAGGTTGAGAACAACACAAAGCAGTCACACAGGCAGTTCACACAGACATATGAGCACAACGACAGTTTGAATAGACAAGCGTGTTGTCTAATACAACACAACGGCCCCTCGTCGTTCGTCCTGAGCGTTTAAGCCCTTGGCTGGAAGGTGTAGTACCTCGTAGCAGGGTGCCGGATCCCATCGCTGGCTGAGCTGGAGGACAACTTTCTGCTGCTGCTGGAACAATCTGAGCAGCATGCTTGGCTTAGCAGCCGTGCAGCACTCGGGTTCACTGAGTAGATCAAAGTGGATTATTAGTTTCTTCTGCGTGTGCAGCTGCACTCTGCAAGTCTAATCACTTTTATATGAACGGAGACGGACGAGCCACACTAGTTTCAGTTTTCAGTTAACATCACCCACCTGCTATGACCTGCTGCTTCAGTAACTGTAGGACCTGATCGTGGATGCGGAGCCTGCGCAGGGCGTCAGCCAGAGAGGATTTCAGGAGTGTGATCTCGTCCTCCTGTGCCTGCAGACGCACCTCCATCATGGATGCCCGGTCTGGAAATTCAGCACTGCTGTCAGCAGACACATCATCTACAAAGGAGGCAGCAGGACGAGGGTTAGAGAAGAGCTGCACTACCAAATAATCTCAGCCTGTCGCTTGTTCTTTCATGGCTTCAACTTCAGGTAACACTTAGCGCTACAATGTAGTTATTTTCTTTACAACAGGTTTATGTCATCACAGGTGGGGCTTTGCACCAATCTGGACCCACGTCTGAATCCAGGAATCTTTGGAAAAATGCGTTATGATTGTGAGACAGAGCAGAATGTAACCTTTAGTATCACATGTTCCTGAATGTCAAAAGAAATAAAAGCTCTTTGCCTGCAGAGCCTGTTGCTGCGTTGCTGGGATTGAGCCCACGTGACACTCGAGTTTAGCATATTCTTCAGAAATGCTTTTCTCAGTTTATGCTCTCAGCCGATAGTCTGCCTTTACTTTTAGGTGAGAGACTCCGGTAACAGGCTTTCTACATACTTTCTATCCATCGTTAACTTTCACTCTCAGATGAACACACCGGGAGTAATTCAGGGTTCAGGATACTGCTCGAGGATACTCTGGCATACAAACTGGAGCTGTCAGGGATCCAACCACCTGCCTTCCTTTCAGCAACTTATCTTTGTGAAGATTACAACATCGCTGTGAGGATTTTTCTGGTACTGCTGTCTGAAGGTAAAGATGTGGTTTTAAGGTTTCGATGGTTGGGTTTAAAGGCCCGTGAATGTGCAATGGCAAGCATAGCTTGTCCAGTGAAATTAAAAAGTAGACATCAGTTAAACCTCTCATAAAACATCTCTCATCACAGGAAGCATCCTGTCATAAATAGGAGGTCCTCCCTCTCTAATAAGAGGCAAACTCTTTCTGGACAATGTTTTTAAAGTATTGTGAAGCGATTTTAGCAGAGGGTAGCAGTCAAGCTCTAAACCATGAACGTGGCTACGAAGAGTAGAAGAGTCACAGCTGACATAGAAAAATGCTCGCTCTCAGTAGGCTGCACAGCACTGAGGCTTTTTCTCTTTTTACTGTATGAGAAAGCTGAGATGTAAAAATATAGCCTGATCGCTCCAGAGGTTTCAGGAAGTAACATGTAACATGTGTTTATGCAGCACTTTTCACAGACAACAAATCACAATGCAGTTCTAAATAAATCAACCGTGGTCTGATTACAAGCTTTTTGAAGGTCTCCACCGAGTCCAGACACTGTAAAATGGTTAATGGACTGGTTCTTATATGGCGCTTTTCTACTCTTCTGACCACTCAAAGCGCTTCACCCTTTCCGTTTGCTGTCACTCTTACTCGGGGGCGTCTCCCATTTTGACCTCAGGACTTCCAGGCCATACTCGGCACAGATGATTGTGTACACTATGCCGGCCCCTTGGTTATAGCGTTCCATGCATGCCCTGCCTGCTAGCATCTGTAGGTCTAGATTAAACTAACTAGTCTAGTTTTTAGATTCAGCTGATGTAGATTAAAAGCAAGCGCTCGGTCACAGCAGAGCGCCGGTGCCACTCTGAGTGATGAATTTCAGCTCTGTGTGACCGCCGGTCTGATGAAATGTTGTATTTCCAAACAAGCAGGTGCTGGGTTCAAATCAATGAGCCTGATGGGTCCTTTCTTTTCTTTCTGTGTGGCTCCCACCGTCCAAAGACAAGCATGAAACCAACCTTAAACCAGTCTGTACAAACAAATTCTTCACCGCTGAAAAAATCGAAAGCACACACGGTGTTTTTATACCAGTGCTTCCTTAAAGCGATTGCAAATGAGACACTAGTGCTGCCTATAATGCTAGACATGTCGATCCTATCTGGGGGGAAATTGCTAGTTGGATTTCTGGTGAGACCATGACTTGCAGTTTGGTGGTGCCACACCCACTGTGGCTTCTTCCCAGGATCTGTTTTTGGCAGTGGGATCCTGTACTCAGTAGGCTGGTTTTATAGATGGGGTGTTTTATTGACTGGTTTTACTGGTTGCGGAAGTAAAGTGTGGAGGTTAAAAGAATTTCTGAAAAGCTAAAATAAACAAAACTAAAAGTGAAAACATTCTAAACTCTTTAAACTTTGTGCTATTTCTGTGCATGTTTGGACACAGAGTGTGACAGCCATTAATATACAGTCTCTATATATGACTCATCATCCTTCCACAGTCGTTTCACTGTCTGCCATCTTTTTGCTATAGATGTAAGAAGTTATAGGCAGATTTTTGATGTCATTACTACAGATTTAAATTATTGGTGAGAGCACATGAGACCACACGTCCTGGTGAGAGGCAAACATCAGCACTGCTTTACTCAAAGCAAAGCCCCCCAAAACAAAACACGACATTCAAAGGGACAGTCGTGATCTGAACCAGTCAGGAGGCTGGACTGACAGGATAAAACAGAATAATCAGTGCTCCTATTGGTCATCACAGAAAATCTCACAACGTACAACTGCATCAGAAAACAGATACAAGCCTTGCTACTGTAGAGGTCTCACCACAACGTAATTACACATCTGCATAAATGATCGTACTCCACTTCCACTCTGGTTTTCTTCTTTTCATTTTTCCCATGGAAGCCAAGGCGGGATGACTCATAGCTGTTTGGCAGCAGCTCAGGGGAAGCTGGAATTTGATCCACATTAGATTCGTGTAGCTATACTGGAATTCTGGTTACTATTCACAGTCCGTCTGTCGTAGCGTGGAAGTGCAAAAGCAGGTTATGTCACCACTTTTGGAATTTCTTCTATCTCTGCGTGGACTTCTCAGTTTCTGAGTTATGGCTGGAGATGTCCACTGAGCAATCTGAATGTGCGTTATGTGAACAAACAAACGTTTTTGCACATTCCACACATTTCAGGGCTGAATATCATTATTACATCAAGGTGAGGATATTTGCTGACATCTCGTTACTGCTCAACATGTGCCAGCAGACAGAACGACTGACAGGAAATGACACGGCAATGCTGGACAAAAGCCTTTTTCACGTGTCTCTTCATACACGTCACAGGGTTTCTCAACATGGGAACGTTTGGGAACAGAGCCCAGTGACAAGGTAGTTACTGGACGTGATAGCAGCTCTAGTCCAGCAGCAGCGTTCAGTAGGAGAAAAAGAGGAGGATGTGAACCCCGCTTGGCAGGTTCTAATTAACCTATGATTCAGGTTTCGAGAGAAAAAGAAGGGAATCGATTTAAGAAAAGAAAAATAGTTGGTGAAACACAGCACAAGCCTCTTTCAGCCGTATCCACCACTGTTAGAAAAGAGAGAATTTGCTCCACTGATGACGTCTTTCGTAAAAGGCTCAGGGTCATTTAAGGACCCAGCAACTATAATTAGCCACTAAAGCTCCGGTTTTGCTTTTATCTACATGAAACATGTTACTATAAATCTAGATTAGTGCTCTTCTCCAGACGTTGCTTTAGTCCTTAATAAGCCCATAAACGTCTTAGCTGCTTATCTGCATGCATGTGCTTAAAGTTAAAGAGTACGTGCGTCCTGCATTCGTTTGACTAACACATATTCTCACAGCGCCCGCCCACTCTTTCTACCTGTCACCCAAGGATGCTGCATCATGACCTCAGCCACCTACAGACACACAGCGCTCAGTCTGTAGTTCTCTACTTTGATTTAGATGCTTTGCCGCTGCTCAACATCCTGTACGCCCCTGCACAAGTGCCGAGGTCCCATCTGAGAAGTGAAACAGAGAGCTGCACCATCTGTGAGAAACACTCCCCCCACCCCACCACCACGCCGCTGCACACATGTGACTGACTGCACAGCTCGTGTGGCTGCAAACGGCTCACCAGGACTGCACATGAGACGAGCTGACCTCCTTTACAGTCCTTCACTTTGACTCTCACTCCTGTGTTTATCTCCAGGGAGCATCTCAAAAACACGCCCGATGACGCCGTGATGCAGTGGTTAGCGCTGTCACGTCACAGAAACAAGGTTGTGGGTTTGATTCTGTAGGCTGGTGCCTTTGTGTGGCATTTGCATGTTCGCCCTGCACCTGAATGAGTACTCTCTACTCTGCTGCGGTTGTAGTAAGAGAATTTATGAAAGGACTAGAATTAAAACTAACCGATTGTAGCCTTCACACAAAACTGTGCCTCGTGCACACAATGCACCGAAACGACAGGCGCTTCTACACTGCAGCTGGAAACCAACAAGCTGGTGGAAAAAAAGGTGGCATATAAGGGGAAGTTGATGCTGCAGGCAGATACGTTCACAGGTGGGGGTGTGAGAACACGTTTTCAAGGAATAGTTTCCAGCACTGAGTGCACAGAAGACAAAGTATTTATACTTTAACTAAATATTTCTCCGAGCCTCCCGTCACTGAGACGGCGACACTCCGTTTGGTTCAGGGACATGAAACAAGCGGTTGAGACGGCATTTAGATGATCCTGGAGCATGTCGGCGGGACTGACGTGTAGACGACTCTCAGTTCCCCATGTGGTCCTTAGTGAAACTGAGCCTGACACCCCCGTTTCATTTCATTTTTACTTTTTATTTGTCATGAACCACAAACGAGAGCGCGGATCTCAGCAGATACGAGGCACCTCGTACCAAATTTAGCTCCTAGTAAAAGAAACTAATACAAACAATATCCAAGTTAAAAGTACAAAGTTCATATAAAATCGGGAAAGTCGCCCAGCCCGCCCCACTAACAGCACATACACATTATACAGTCTTTATGCACGCCTGCACATCCACTTCAGTAACACTATGCCACCATTAAACGGTATAAGCACAGCATAAAGATCCAAAGGACGATGATTTAACAGGAGACAACTCATGCTGGTTTGATTACTGTTGCATGGGTGGATTCATTGGTTTACACTGTGCAGGGGCCCCAAAACCAGTTAAGCCAGCCTTGCTATCTTAAAGGATAAAACCATGGAAAAAGTAATTGTCAAAAAGCCAGAGGAGATGATGCAGCTCACAACACGCTGCCACAATCTTAACCGTCAGGCCTCGCTGAAGCAGACACAAATACAGTGCAAGTCCGTGCTCGCTCTACATACAGATAACAACACTGTAAGCCACCGACGGCCATGGAGCATAAATCTCTGCCACATGATGATCTCACTGAGTGAGACTGACTGATTTATTATCAGCACTGACTGAAGTTTGAGCCGCTTTGGTTTCCTTCTGATTTACAGGTGCGATCAAAACAAGGCGCCAGTGAAAACACTCTGATTCCCCCGACTTCAATCTTTAAACTGACCAGACAGAATTCAGCATTCCCTCAATGCTACAGACACATTTCAGTGTCTGTTAGAAAGCAGTGAGCTTTAACTTCCAGCCCTGAGACAGAAGAAAGAGTGTTTGCCTCCAGGCTGCAGCAGAACAGCACGTGCGTTCTTCTGAAAAGAGGCACTATTACGACATTCTGGGAAAAACACTGAAAAAGCTGCCATTTGCTGATGCAACTTCCTGCTGATCTCTGCACAACTGCAACACGTCCCAAATCCTCACAGCACTCCTAGACAGCTGTTCGAGCCAAAACCACAACACGCTGAAATGATGAATCCACTCTGGTTCCACTAATTGAACCCTTACCGTATATACACCAAATATAACTCCTGTTCTCAGGCTGTTTACAGCAGCAAGCTGACAAAGATAACGAGCTCCGCTGACTAAGTGCTAAGTGCTGTATGAATAGACTCGATTCTGCGGCTCTAATTCTAAACCTCTCTATTAAAGCACGTGTCTAAGTGCTGCAGTATAAACAGCATTTGGGTTTAACAGTAACAGTAACTGGTGTTAGTCCTCTGACGGCTCTTATAATGCTCGTTTGAGTGTGAAGGTGTGTATTTCTTGTCTTATGCACTACAGCAATGTGACCACATTCACATCTTCCAGCTGTTTAACTTCCAGCTGTGTAAGTGGGGTATGCACACATTTTTACAGTAATCTGTAAGCAGTAATTCAATTTCTCTTCTCAAGTTATACAAATACAAATAGACAGAAGAAGGCATGCCTCTTCAGACGCTTGAAACACTGAGTAAGTGATGTCACTTCCTGTAGGAAAAGTTGCTATTCCAGCATTAGCAGCAGCTGCTTTTACACCAAAGCAAACCATGACAAAGAAACACAGCTCATCACAGATGGAGTCTGTGAAAGAGAGGCTGACAATTACCACAACAGAGCACGAAGCGTTTCACTGATACTGTCCTCATCTATACTGAAGAGCTTAGCACTTTATGCACTTTAGCTCCTTTAAGTGTGCGACTGTACATGGTCTGTGTGGGTCAGAAAGAAGTGTTAGTCAGTCGGGGTTAATGGTACGACCCCGCACCTTTACTAGGATAACTGCAAATGTAAGCAAGGTAACGCTGCGTTACGTCCAGACATAAATCCCACATTCACTGGATTTCTATACAGTTCTTCTGATCTGGTCGATTTGACCCTGTTAGCATAAGCTGTGACCTTTTATGGAAGTTCAGACTAGTCAGGAGGATGTGAAAACTAGTAAACTTTACCTCCTGAGCCGTAAACTACAGACTACAGCACATCTGTCCTTTGAAACAAAGGTCTTCCATTCCTTACTCTGAGCCGGGGAGTTTCTTGTAACGTCTACAGTTATGCAGTTACTTAAGAGAGCGTGATACTTCACTGGTTGCATTGTGCTCACACACACAGCATGTGTCTAAGTTCATTCAGTGACTCAGTAAACGCAGTTTGAAAATCTGAGGAGTTTTTCATGCTTTTCCACATTTCTGCACAGATTGAACTTGTGCAGTTATCATTACTGATACAAGTCATGGACACAACAATTACAAAACACAAGACTGGTGTTATGAACCAGCAGAAAGGCAGTAAGATAGCAGGCTTACTTTGTATTTTCAATATGGATATATTATCTTACTTTATTTTTAACATCTAACAAATGGTGTCAGTGTTAAAACTGAAGGCAGTATCTTTAAAGTCTTGTTTTGCCAAGTCTCAAATAGCCATTAACAGAAGTAAACTGTTGGAAAAGCAGTAAAGCCTCTTTGTGTGGCACTGGAATCTGCACACACTGCACATTTGCTCGCTCTTCCCTAAAACATTACTATGACTACTTTGCAAAGATATCAGCCAGTCCTTTAACCCAATGTCAGATGTGCTTCAACTTTAAGGCTGGCATACAGTCCACCACACAGTGGAGGAAATACTGTGTATCAGTATCTGCATGTTACTGCTAAACACAGCAGTTATTTGATCCCTACAAACTCATATTACGTAAGCCGGCCAGCTGACACCGAGGCACAAGCAACTCTCCAGCTCCAGCACACCTCACGCAGCTTTCCGAGGCAGGTAACGTGTCACCATCTTCGTTTATGAAACATGATTACCAACGTAACGCAGGTCTTCATTAAGAGAAATGGCTGTGTGTTGAAGCTTCCTGCAGCACTGAGTCACAGCTGCCTTGCTCAAGCTTCCCCATGTGATATTAATATATTTGCTGTTCCCCAGCGCTTTGGCGGCCCACCAGCTTTCAAGAAGCCAGCAGAGTATGTAAGATAGGCTTGGGTGTGGATGTTTGTATACACATGTGAATCAAAAGCAGCACTGGGCAGCTATCAAAGTTCCAGTTTCAGCATAATAGTAAGTATTGTGGGGACAGACAGGGTGGAGCTTTTTCACCCAGCCCACAGTGGAGAGAAGGATGTTCAGCTGGTGCTTCGTCTGATATATGGATGAACTGTTGTGCATGGACACAGGCTGCTGTGGTCTTCGCTCTGCCGGTGGTCTCAATGTTGATGCTCAAACTACCCACGCGTGACAACATGGAATCAGCAGCACACAACTCAGTTTGCGACACAAAGCGAAGCGGTTGCAGGCACGCCTCCAGGGTGTCCTGATCACTCGGGCCAGACTTGAGGCAACTATTTGAATGCCACAGAAATAATGTAAACGACGTGCAGCCGTCCCACGCACCTACACAGACACAGCGCTGCTGTAACGTCCTGTTTCTCCATCGACGTTTGAGACTGCTGCCTGTCTGCGCTAACGTGTGGACGAGTGACTGAACAAAAACATGGAGAAATGTTAAAAAGCCCAGAATTAAGCAGCAAAAATCCTTTGAAAGTCAGAGCGGATGTTCCGCCGACCATCCGCTTGCAATAAAAGGCAGCAAAGAATGCGGCGACGAGCGCTGCCAAGAAAAACTGCATCTAAGTGTTCAGTTACGAAGTTTTGGTGTGACTGAAAGCCTCCGAACAAAGCTCGAGGGTTTACGCGTTTGTTAAACTGTGTAAAGCGTGTGTGGTGCGGTGTATGCTAGTTTTCTCCAAAGATTGCCATCTTTGAAGCTGTTTGACAGCGTTCCTTTGAGAGCGATGCGATTATCTGATCCGAGCACGGACAGTGAAGTTTCCACGGCTAATGCTGTCAGTAAAAACACAAAGGACCACTGTCGCTGCTGCACTCACCCAGACTGTTGGTAGAGGAATCCATAATCCCAGGTTTAGACGGCGGCTCCTGTTTTTAGAGGAGCAGCGTGCACTAAGGTGTGTTTTCCATGCTGACAGAGGAGAATCACAGCCCACACTCTGGAGACTTGAGTCGATGACAGGTCTAAGAATACCGGAAACGCGGAATTTTCCGCAACATAAAGCGCAATAGTTTATTAAACGCGTGGGTGTGTGTGTGTGAGGGGGGAGTACTTATAAGGAAATCAAGCTTAAATATAAAATATAGTTCGAAATTACTTTATATAAAATGAAAAACTAAAAACAATCACACCACAGACTGAAAACCGCTTCCGGAAGTGTAGCCCCTCGTTATAGCTAGCTTGACACTATTGGCGGGAAGGCACCAGGTACGGCTAAAAGTGCTGCCAGATATTCGCCTCAGTCAGACTGAGTCAGGAAGGAGGATTTCAGTGTCCGTAAACCAGAACATCTCACGGAACTCTTAAAGCAGCTTCTTACGGCTGCACCTCTGCAGCCTGGCAGCTACAGGACGAGCATTTGTTTCCATCTCGTGGCGGCGGTGCGCACTACAAGCCCTGAAACCTGTGCCAGAAAGTGACTGCCTGCATTCAAACTGCTATAAATAACTTGTTGGCCTATAAGAAATGAAACGTATATCAAATGCATCCCTCACGAATGATATCCAGTCATCCTGACCACGCACAATATTCCTGTCAGAAGGTGGAAGCTGCAATTAGTTTTTGGTAAAGTGACTTTTATATATCCTTTATTGATCCAGTATGAAAGTCTAATTGACGTTAAAAATGTCATTTTTAGAGTGATCCGACGTCATAAAGACACCTGCAAGACAGGTAATTTATTTATTTTATATAGAACACCTTAAAGGTAAAGACATCACACATTAAAAACACACACACGGAAACACTGGAAATGGCAACAGAAAGGATGGTGCCAGAAACATCACCGGGGGCCTTTTTAAATCTTATTTTAAGGGTAAGACCTTTTAGTTTTGATTTTGTTTGTTTGTTGTTGTTTTGCTTATATTACATTTGACCAGCGATTCTATAAATGCAACGTTATGTCACTGTGACTGTATTTGAATTTTAGTGTTGCATTATTGTCAGCCAACATAAGCTCGACGGTGGCTGCAAAGTGGCGACTCTTGCCTTAAGAAGTGTCTCTTGTTGACTTGTAAAAGCCTCTACAACTTTTTTTATTTCACCATTCATTAACCGCACAGAGAAGGCATCGTTTAAATATGTTAAAGTTTACTGTTAAGTGAACAGTATTATTAAAGTTCTTCGTGACTGGCACAAGTGTCCTCTTTGTTGCAAATCAAAATATGGTCACCGTAAATTATACTGCACGACAAAGGATAAAAAAATAGTTAGCTTTCTCTTTTCTCAACTTTTGTTTAATAGTTTGAAGAATCATAGCTACAGCGCGAAGAATGGCATTGATTTAGAAATCGTTTTCCTGCATTTTAATGGAGAATATTTACTGCGCTTATTTGCGGTTTTACGGAACTATCATTTCTGTCACTGTTTCTATTGTTTGGGGGAAGCAAACCCGTGTCGGACCGGAATGCTGTACTGGCCTTTGAACATGGTAGCGTCCGTTGACAGCGCCTTCTGAAGGAGACTATATTCTTGTCCGATTGTCGGCACTAAAGGTCAGTATTAACATGGTTATACATGTTGGGGTGATAATAATAACTATCATTACTACAACGTTTGAGCAGTTGACGAACTAAACTTCACAAAAATGTGAAATGTAAAGTTTGATCGTTCTGTACAAATATTCACAGCTGGATGAGGTACACCGAAGAGTGAACGTGTGAGCTTCACGTCCGTGTGCACTTCTGTTCTCTGACACTCGCCGTGATGGCTCGACTATGAAGGGCAGCCGCTGCCTGCATCAGCTCAAGTCTCTGCGGCTGCTCAGCCACGCAGGGAGGCTGCTGCCTGCTGCTGCTGGAGACAACGGCGCTCTATTCCGGTTACACTCCTCGAGTCTGCTCGGCGGCTCGCAGTGCCCACAGCGCGAGGTGAGTTTTAGCAGCGACCAGACTTAAGCTCATACACAGCACTGATATAATCGCAGAGAAAGGCAGCTGGCAGTCGACTCTTTGTTTGGTGTTAATCAATAACTAATCAGATCATATGAATGAATCTTTTATATGCGTTCATAACAAAAACATGTTGCTTTTAGGTGTTGAGGCATTTCCACAGCAGCCCAGCGTGCACCAAGAGTCAGCCTGCACGGTTCGTTCAGGAAGAGGACAAGACGAGGGACAAGTCTCTGGTCGCCCACGATGATCTGTTTGAGCAGGTCGCCAAAGAAACCAAAACCAAGGCCACGTTTAACAAAGTGATAGACGTCTACACCAAGAGAGACATAAGGCGTCGAGGTCATGTGGAGTTCATCTATGCTGCTCTGAAGAAGATGCCCGAATTCGGGGTGGAGAAAGACCTCACTGTCTACAACAAGCTGCTGGATGTTTTTCCTAAAGAGGTATTCGTGCCGCAAAACTTTATCCAGAGAATGTTCAACCACTATCCCCGTCAGCAGGAGTGTGGAGTGCAGCTCCTGGAGCAGATGGAGAGTTATGGTGGGTGTCTATAGTATTGTGGGAGTTGTTGAGAATCTTGAGGTGTTCTGTACACTGTTTTTGTGTCTAAGTGTCAGTGTCTGTGCTTCAGGTATCATGCCCAACATTGAGACCAAAGTGCTGCTGGTCCAGATCTTTGGAGAAAAGACCCACCCTATGAGAAAGTACCAGCGTATCATGTACTGGTTCCCCAGGTTCATGCACGCAAACCCCTTTCCTATTCCCAAGCAACTCCCTGAAGACCCAGTAGACCTGGCACGCTTCAGCCTCACACGCATGGCAAACGACTGGGATGCAAAAGTGACCGTCTACCAGGTATATGCATGGATTAGCCTAGCTTAGCATGAAGACTGGAAACAGGGGGGAACAGCTAGCCTGGCTTTGTTCTTTAAAAGAATAACAAAAGTAACTCTAAAATCTTTAAAGCTAATACGCTGAATGTTTCAGACCCGAGTCTGGAAACCTCTTTTCCACAGTTGTCAACCACAGACTCGTGTTCCACATTTCTTAAGCTTTTAAACTGAGTTTATGGAAAGTGGAGAAAAAACTCCACATGATTGGGAGTACAAGTTTTTGTGTTACAGTCATTTAGTTTCTCAGGTCTAACTAAGACAAACTTGTGTGTAAAAATCGTTTGACTGACTTTGTGTTTTGTCATCAGATGTAAATCTTGTATTTACCAAACTGTGTGTGCTCTCCTCACAAGCTGCCCTGCACAGACATCACAGACAGCGGTGCTGAAGTCACACTTCCACATATAGTAGGTATGGATGACTTGAAACTACATTCTGTGTCTTAGTCAGAAATAGATTGTTAAAAATACTAATAATGGCATCATTTCCATATTTGTTCTTTCTTTCCTGTGTTTGCACCAGGCATCCAGAGCCCCAGCCAGATGGAAGCGCTCGCTAAGCACAACCCGTGCAGGCCCGTGTTCGTGGAGGGCCCGTTCCCTCTGTGGATGAGGAAGACGTGTGTTTACTACTACGTCCTCAGAGCCGACCCTGCCCCACCTGAAGAGAAGGTGGGCAAACATTACTGTTAACCATTACAAATAATAGGTGCTGTGTGATGATCATATAACAGAGTGTTTGAGTTCTAATGATTGTGGCTTATAGCTCAGGAAAGTCACAAAACCAGAATCTCAGATTATAGAATATTTCCTAAGATCCATGAAAAACAGGATTTCTAGTACAGAAATGTCCAGCTTGGTGCGTTCATTAATACACTCAGATGTTAGGAATGCAGCCGTTGCAGCTGCTTTCCTGTAGACATCTGTGCATGCTGGTGTTGGGGGAACTGACACCACCCTCACTCCACTCCCTGTGAAGCTCTCCCAGCTTCTTCAGCTGGCTGTGCTCTGCAAACAGCCGGCCTTTTCTGCAGTGACCGTCCCTCGTTGTAGACTCTGTATAATGAATGTAGAATATGTGAAACTTTGTGAATTAAATTACAAACAAATCCTCCTCCCTCCCCTCAGATAGAAGAGCCGTATGACCCAGAGAGGTGTCTCATGTATCCTCTGCAGCTAGACCTGGATTTGGACCGCGACCTGGGGGACGATGAGAGCTTCGATGTGGAAGACTGTAAGATATGGCTTCACTGCTGTTGACCACAACCCCTCACTTCCAGGGTGTAACATAGATGATGTGTGTCTGTGTGTCTATCCAGTGGATGAAGGTCCAGTCTTTGCCATGTGCATGACCAGTCAGGGGGACCAGGCTACCCTCAATCAGTGGATCTCTGGCCTCCAACAGAGTAACCCCATCCTAGGTCAGATCCCCACGCTGTTCCGACTGGGCGCTGGACCCCGGGAGCTGCAAGGGGTGGGCGACACCGACTCGACCAGTGGAACCTGGTTTCCTTCACACGTCCATAAAGAAGAAGCAGACCCTGGGGAAGACGCCGAGGCTGTAGTGGAAGAGGAGCCCAGGAGAAGTCAGGGTGTGAAGCAGTGAAAAGCCTCCCTCCGAACCAGCCGGGAGGCTTTTGTAGATTCTTTTTAGCATATTTAATAAAGTCGTACAGAATAATTACAAACGTATTTATTCAGTCACAAATGTCTCACACCTTTAAAATACAGCAGACTATCTACAGAAGTACTAAGTCTGTATGTGTTCAAATGAAGTCATTGTAGCTGTGGAAATAAACAACGATGAAGTCGAGTTGTTAAAGTAACACAATAAATGCTGACTTCCATTTACAGTTGGACTCTGTTTAACTGTTTTTCACTGCCACTGAAGCTCGACTTGATTTTGGTGAACTTGGTTTTTGCTCCAATGACAACAGCTCGCCGCGCAGACTTCAGTGAGCTCACGCTGTCAGGAGTGTTTGGCTTTACAGTTGTTGTGAAGTTGGAGGTCAGACTGTGGAGAAAACAGACTGGCCTCATCGTCTGTGGTCTTTCAGCTGTGGAGTGTCTGGTAGAGTTTCACTAAAACAGTTTTGGATTGTAGTTTTGTTAATTAGCAAAATGTGTGTTTGTGAAACTGTTATTGCATCTCTTAGTAAAACAAGCTCCTGATGAGGTGCATCATCTACATCTGACTGACACTGTTTCTACTTTGTTTTAGAGCTCCATTGCCTTACTGCAGTGCATTGGCAAGTTTGAGTTTGCACTGCACACACAAAATTCACCCACAGCTGCCCATCACAGACCCAGGCTGGAGCCACAGTGCACACTTCGGGTGTAAGCTGCCCTACTGGTGCAAGTGCAGCTTCAGTGGATTTAATAAAAACGATACGGTCAATGTGCAAAGCAGGAATTTCTGTGCTTATTAATGTGAAATTCTTAATATTTCTGATCATAATACCACACAAGTGACACAACTGCACTGGAGAAAACAGTTTAACAAAAAAGACAAAGGATTCGAATGAACAGTAGAAAAAGTTTATTACTGAAAAGGCATTTAAACATTCCCTTTTTAAACTGGCAGATCTGATCACCACAAGCTCTTTCCACTGCGTTGTGGCTGCACAGACAGTATCACCTCAGCTTTGTGCTCAAATACAAGAATATTTCAGTGTTGTAGTCTTCATGAAAACCATAGAAAAATCATCGAAAAGCATTCCAGAGCACTTCATCCATTTACTACTTAAGTAGGAAAGCCTTGGATTGATAACAT